AAATATAAATATATTTATAGTAAATATTTTGCGAGACAAAAGATAGAAAGATGAGAAAACAAAGAACTAATCGGTTAGAGAATTTAACCGCGAAACCAAATAATACTGTATGAAATGTAGAATTAATTACTGGTTAAACAAACGTGTAGTTGTTGCAATGATGTGCACTATATTTGTAGTAAACTTAGAATCAAAATCTGTCGTTTATAAATAAAAAATATTTTTCATTTCCAAAACTAAAATTAACCTTCCAAATGAGATTTTTTAAAGCTGCCGCACATAATGATTTAATGTTTATATTTAACACAAATGTTGCCAGTGTTTGAGGCGAGTAATGCTTTTTTGGTGGAATTCCAATATATCCCAGCGCTCTTAAAGTCTGTGCTGAGCGCGTGTTTCTAGCTCAGTTTATGACTGCTTTGCTTTTGTTTATTTTATAGCAGTTAATAACTGTAACAAATGCACAACAATGCTTCAAACAATTTTATGAGCGATTTTGAAATTTACGATTTTTCCGCATTATTATAACATGATTTTCATTTAATGGGTTTTTGTTGGCTTCTGCATTGGTGTGCGTTGGCTCCTACTGTTGCTTTGTGCATTTTGCGGCACTTTCGAATACTATAATAATTGAAAAACTCCCGCGGTTATGATTCATCGTAAGCCAGTAATTTAAAAATAATTTAGAAAATTCATAATCTTGCGTTTAGAGGAAAAAATTTCAGGGGTTAGTTGTAGGCAGAGAAATGAAAAAATTACATATAAATTTTTTTATGTAAATTATTTATTTCTACACGTAAGTAAAAAGCCAGCATTAAATAAGGTTTCGATTTTACTTGACAGAAATCATAAAAAAATTGATACAATTTTAAAAGTAAATGCTGTATGGGTAAATCTAGTTCTAATCGTAGCTCTGTTCGGCGACCGTCACCAAATTTTTGAAGATTCATCTAAAAGCAATCGAACAGAAAACAGTCACTAATTATAGAATAACTTGGAAAGTGTTTTCATGATTTACTGCGAAAATTCAGAGAAACAAGAATTTTAGCAATTATTAACAATCTTATAACGGGGTTTTCGGTAAGGGGGTTACAAAAGTTTTTAAAGTAAAACCAAAACGGTTTCGGACATCAATGAAATTCTTTATTCCCGAGAAAGAACATTTGATGCCATTATGTATGGAACTCGAGTTTTGAGTAGCTTGTAGAAGTCCAGACGCTGAACCCAATTTGGAACGGTTTTCA